GGTGTGGTGCTAAGAATGGCGATACTCACTGACGATGCCGACGAAACGTCTGGGAATGTACCACATACACGGTTCAACTTTGGAAATGATTATGCAGACATTGGACCCCGGACTAGGTGCGTTCCAATAACTCTTCCTAAAATATGACCATGTTGCGAAAACAAGGTCAAACAACCTCTATGCAACGAAAGAAGACTGCGACCACAAAAAAGGCTACACCATCTTGGTCTTCATACCTACGATCTTTATAACTTACATTTACTCTTCGTCGTAGATATTCTGGTAATTCCGCCCGATTTTGCTGTTGTTTTAAAATTAACAGGGCAGGACGGAGGATATAAGGTACTGACACTTAGCCATACAGAGCCAAGAGCACTGTCAAGTTCACGCCCCATCAAGACAGGCTTGATGGGTTCTGTATAAAAAAGTTGAAAAATAAATGTATAGAATAATTTATGTTTTGAGCGATATGGTGAATTATCATATATAAACTACTTATAAACATCCTAAGAAAATATTTCATCCTTAGTAAGTGAGAAGTGACATGTCAATTTGATATCTTGTTACTCTGTACTAGGATGGCTCCTCTCAATGCCGATGCAGACTAGGACGCAAGCAAGTCACAGGTTTGATACTGGAAAATACCATAAATACTTTGGCAGAGGATGTAAAACTAGGTCATTTCCACAATGTCTCCTTTTAACTCCGAACGAGTTGTGATAACGTAGTCAAACCAACATCTTGTGCTAAGGGAAACATCGACCAAACAAAATAACACTACATTTTTCCCTTTATATCTACGACCAAATGAATATATTATTTTCACTTTGTAGCTTTCAAATTCAATACAAAGATGAAAGTTTTTAAAAGGCATAAAAGAATTCTCTTTTTATTTCCTTTGATGATGAATGCAACTTAAGCTAAATATGAATAGCAATATGGAATTATTAATAATGTAAATTACTTTAAAGAAATGACAAGAAATATAGATAAACTTTGGGCCAAATTACAATGAAAGAGTTGTGTTTTCTTAAGCAGTAAATTAGACAGTTTCAGGACAGTTTTCATTAAGTATTTTAACAGGGCATCTATATCAAAAATACTATATCTTTCTATCTATCTAGGTTTTTAATTTTCTTTTGGCTCAATTGAGTCCATATAATAATTAAGATAAAGCCTGATAGTATTCTTGGCCTAGTGTTAACGTGAGACTTTTACAAGAATGACACCCAGCTCTGATGATGTCCATCAGTCGATGGACGAAAGCTTAACACGTCTTCACCCGAAACGAGAGAGGAAGTCTTGTGGACTGCGTCAACATGAATATCGTATAAAACCCAAACGGCTGCAGTACAAGGAGTTTCATCTTTCTGCATCTGGTAAGATCGACCAACGAATCTCTTCTTCATTCTCTTTCATACGAAAGGAAAGTTCCCTTATAGTGTATAGTAGACTATTACTTTACCTATTTAATGCCATAAACAATTGTGAACTAGGTATATTGTACGTCTGACAAAATTATTAATAAGAAAATCAAGTTACTTGTCCATCCTTCCACTTGAAAAGGACTCGAAAGTTTATCTTGCGATGCAGATTTCAAAAGTAAAAAGTACTTTGTGCAGCTTTTAAGGCCTTCAATCTTTGCATTGTTTGATTCTGCTTTATCGATAACTAGTATTATAATTGGGATGGTTGTGCCCGGTTCTTGGGTCTCGAGTAAATATGCGATTGTGTTTTCTTTAGGAGTTATAGGCTTCCATGATACACTAATAGTTGAAACAGTTTGGTCGGTAATTTTTAATTCTGATGGTTTGACTGTATCTAATGACAAGAAAAGGCAGAAGAAAATAAATGAGAAAGTACATTACAAAAATTTGATTTTTAAAATTTTAATTAAAATAATTAAATTTATTTGGTTGCACTCTCGATAATAAGGGAAAAATCGTTTAAAAGGTATTAGGCGAAATATTTTATTATATTTATTCCAGAAGATAAAGTTTTGATTGATTATAAAAAATGGAAATGATGTTGTATAAATTAAAGTACAGCTTGTAACCAAGAAATTTTAGAAGCTTTCACTTGCTAAATAACCGTTCATTAATAAAAATATTCCACAGAAACAAGTATTATACAAGCATACTTTTTAATTAATAATTAAAGATATCGTTGATGATACAAATGAAAGCGACCATAATATACTTGTAAAAAGCCATTCAAATCAATGCATTATCCGTTCGTTATTCTTAATCTTTTTAAAATGAAATTAAAATCAATAAATTGTTTGTTTTACAAGATCCGGAATCTATAGATCTAAAGTAAGAACACTTTTTTTGCCGGCTGGCATCTAGGTTTAACGAAATACTTCTTATGCTCGCTTTGTTCAATCCACTTAAATAAACTTTGAGGCACTTATGCATACGTTTACTAACTCAGCATATAAGTCTTATATTTCCTCACCTCTTAAAGCTATGACGAGTTATAAATGTATTTCTTAAATGATTTGGACGAGGAGAGAATAATAAAGAAGGTCGGTTCTAATGGTATGGCGATAAGAGCTATTCATGAAAATATAATGCGTATATGAGTTTAAAAAATGCTTATAATACTTCAAATTATAGCGAGATAAATTCAAATATACTATTTTAATAGAAATCATACTTTTAAGATTAGTAAAATTGTTGAAATTCTCGCAAATATACAATCCTAGATATTATTATAATACTTAATTAAAAAAATATAAGCTGTATTTACCCTATTTTGTCTAAGATGATGAAGGACTCGTAGAAGAAGAATTTGCCCACAATAATATAAGTAGAGCCCACGTTTGCATTGAATTTCACATAGTCTTGCTTTCCAAAAAGTTGTTCTCATCCAGGCACCAGTGGACTGCAGTTTCG